GGAATTGCCAGCCTTAGAGCAAGGATTTTCAGCCTTGGTTTTAGGATAGTCATTCTGGGGGACAGGATTTTCATCCTGGGTTTCAGAATTGTCAGTATGGGGAGTAGGGTAGCCAATATGTCCTGGAGATGCTGAAATATGAACAAGTGAAATTATTTATAACTGCACAGAAAAGTGAAAATACAACTTTTTTAGAATTATCCCAGTTATCTATAAACTACAATTTTTGCTCAGAAATCTTGTTTCAATGTAGCTTAAGGTTTGTTTTTATCATTCAGCAGTTTTTCAATAAAATGTCTGTGGTTTCATATCCACTTCTATTTTGAGGATTTGGGCTATTATAGAGTTGGTCTTCATCCTTACATTTACTCTTCAAAATTCAGGTGAAAATATGATTGAAACCTAAAAAAGTGAAAAAAAATCAATAGAACCACATACATAAAGATTCTGGAATGGCATAATGAGATATGGCATTGGGTAGAACACCCACAAAAGAGGCATTACGCCAACATATCCAGGACCAAATCACCCTCCAAAAAATGGTAATTCTGGAATTCTGACAAATGGCATCTACCTATACAAAAAGAGTAAGTCTTAGAAGAGAGGCTAATCCTCATAGTAATGTCTTTTAAATGTAGTTTTATAATTCATTCCTTCTTAAATGTATAAATATTTACAGATGACCTACAATGTGATTGGGTCTCTTCCAGAATCAGAAGATACAGCTATGGACAAGGCAGCCTGCTCTCAGGGAGCTTACAGGAAACTTCTGGGAAACAAAAATAGAAATTATAAAAAAAGATTTCTAAAAAATTCATATTGAACTGATTAGAAAATACGTAGGGGAGAGTAAGAGGTATGAACCGATTTCTTTGACTAGATAAAATTTATGTTGAGCCTTACTATATAAGGAGGGAAAAACTGTGTGAAGATCTGATGAGAAATATTCCAGGAGGAAGGATACTATGCAAACTCTCCGATGTGAGGGAATGGATTTGGCATCTTTAAGGACATTATAAGGGAGAAGAAGGAAAGAAACAGCTGTCAATAAAGACATAGGATCAGTCCATTTTTTAGCTGCTTAATGGAGTTTGGATTTTATTCCAAGTGTCATTGACAGGCCTGAGAGTATTCTAAGCAGAAGAGTAAGTTTCATGGTCTGATTTACGTCTTACAAAATTTTCAGGAGTCCCGAGCACTGGGATTTAAGATGAGAAATGCAAATGCAATCCCTGCCCCCAATGAGTAAGGGGAAAGAGAACTTTATACTCACCTTTACAGTAAAGAGATCGACACTAACATGATTAAATGATTAACTAGAATCAGAGACAAGTACTCTGAAGGAAAGGACCAGCGTTTTATGACTACATGTGCCAAAGGGTGGTGAGAGAGAAAGGGAGGGAGTTGGGACAGCCTCCCTGAGAACTACCTTCAGCTGAGATCTAATGGACACAAAGGAGCTGAGCGGACCAGTGCCAGAGAAAGAACATTTCAGAAAGAAGTCCTGGGATAGTAACAAACAAAGGGCCTTTAAAAATCTGAAAAATAGCCCAGTCTCCCTGAACAGAAGAGAAGGCAAGGAAGCCTTCTGGGACCTGGTAACAAAATTAAGCAGTTTGGCTTCTAATTTAAAAGTAATGGAAAGCCATAAAGTAGAGACTGAAAGCTCTCTGTAATACAAGCTGGTTTGTTCTGTTAAAGGTTACTGGGTACAGTGTAAAACCCAGACCATAGGCAAGACACTGGCAATGTGGCGATATGAGTTAATAGTAACAGCATTTCTGTAATCTTCTCAAACTCTTGGAAAGTAAGGATGGTATATTTTTTCCTCAAATCAATGGATTAGGCATATGGAATCAACTGAAATCTGGATAATATTTCCATTTATATAAGGCCCAATTTAAAAAATTATAACATAATAGCAAATAGTTGCCATTTCTCATTTGCTAGTTATTTTACACATACCTGAATTGTGCTGCTATTTGACATATACTCTCATTTAATCTCTAAACCAACGATTGGATAATATTAGCCCCATTTTATAGATAGGAAAACCGAGGCTTAGAAGTACAGCAACTTGTTTGAGACTACCACACAACTAATAGGTACAGAAGCCAGAACTTGATGCCTAATCCAACCCTTCTTTGCCTTTTTCCACTTGAATAATGAGGATAATTAATAGAATTTACCCCATAAGATTGTCAGAGAATTAAATGAGTTAATCTACAATAAGCACTTAGACAAATGCCTAAAACACAGTTAGTTCTCAAGTTTAAGTTACATTATTGTTAGCATATTCTTTCTCTCAAGATCTATGCTACATGCAGCCTTGGATTTGAGAAAAATAAAATTGAACTATTTTTCTCACAAACTCTCAAGTTTGATTAGAACCAATTTTAATTATGTATTACCTGTTTCAATTGTCTATGGGTGGATTTAATCATTCTCCAAGTGCCTTGGATGAATATTAGACTTGCTAATCATTCTCTAAATAACAACTGTATAAGAATTTACAGCAGCAGTTCTCATCCCTGGCTACACATTTTAATCACCTGAGGAGTTAAAAAATTACCAAATCCTGAATCCCGCGTGGGTGAAAAATATCCCCTGCCATATCAGTAAACAAAGGATGTTGCAGGCAGCCAGCCATCAAGTCAGCAGCCACTGCAGCCACCCGCAACTGTGCACCCTGAGGGGATTCAGGATGGACAAAAGCAGGACACTGGCACTAGATGGCTAAGGTGCAGATCAAAGGAATGAATTCAATGAGCCCAGACTCTTGCATCTTCCCATAGAGAGGAAAGCACTTAATTCATTAAGTTGTGATGTCTGGTTTTCTTTAATTAACAGTAAACTTTTGATGTCCTGACTACCTGGTTTTGTTGCAGAAATCCTGTATGTCCTGGCTCCTCCTCTACCTCTTTAGAGCCATCCCTCCGTCTTCTGAGTTTAAGTCCTCAGTTTTGTCAGCCATATAAAACATAATTCTCAACTTCTAGGTTGTGCAGTTTTTTCAGTCGACACCCACAACCAGAGCTTCTGATTACACTTTTCTGGCAGAGTGCCCTGGTACTGGTGTTCCCAAGAGCTTCTGCTTAATACTTAAGTGAAGGCATGGTTGAGATTTACTATCTTAAAGCCTTAAGGTTTTTTCTAGCGGACATACTTTTGTTTGCAAACATCTGGATGCAATCCAGCCCCTACTGGAAGTTTTATCGCTAGACAAACCAGCCATTCAGCTCCCAAGCAGATTTGTTTGCTCAGAGTAGAATACAAAATGCATACCCCCTTGTGGCCAAACCAGATTCCCTTTGATCCTAAGTCCCCAGGATGGTCTCTTAAGATGTGGGTAGCCTCCCTACTTGCAATTCGTGAACTTTGCCATTTGGTAAAGTTCTGGTAATGTTGATAACTGCATTTGTCTAAATGAAAATCTCTGAAGTCGCCTCTGCAGTGATTCAAGGAAATAATGGATTCCCTAGTATGTAGTGATATGACTCAATACTTTTCTTACAAAAGTAAGGCATGGTTCAGCATACATACAACAGTAAACTTTCACATATGTTAACAAAATAAAAATAAGAATTATCCCAGGTAGCTACGTTTCTATTGCTTGCAGCTTCCTGGTTTAAGCACCCATCTCTTTTCTGTGACTCTCACTGAATACAGTTAACCTCAGATAATAAATGACTCAAAAACACTCAAGGATAAATCTCCTGATTGTGATTACATGACCACAATTTTCAGACAAATGGAGAATCAATAAAACCTTTTATTTAATATGAGTATTTGGGGATTTAATTTATGTGCAGCTTTATATTTCACTAGCTAAGTGTAAATTCAGTACTGTTTTTACTAACTCTCCATTTTTACCACCCTGTATAAATAAGTTATTTTTATGATATTTGTGATAATAGGTATCAAACAAAAAATCAATAACTAGACTACCAATTTCATTACTGTGCTTTCAATAAAATGCACTTCTGTGATAAATATACACACAGGGACGGAAGATAGACACACACACACCATTTGGAGAATATCAATAATTAATTATGATTTGTATTCTTAAAACAAATGTCTTACCTTGGAATGCTGCTGAAGGATATTCAGGGGAATATCCAGGTGGTAAATATGCTCCTGGGTGAGAAGCATTCATTTGCATATCTGCAATTCAAGGAGAGGTAAACATACATCTGCTTTGATAAAGTATATATTAGAAAAAATGCATTGTCCTTAGATAATTTTGGTTTGTATGATCTTCCACTGTATTGAAATAAAGTGAATTCTTCCCTTAACAAAGCTGTGCCTGTTACAGAGTAACTTTGCAGTAGAATCCTGTTTCAAACAAATTCCCTTTTTGATAGAATGAGACTCCTGAGTTACTGGGGCTGAATTTCTAGTTATCAGATATGCCTGATGAGTGTCAAATCATAATTTGATTTTGTTGGTATTAGAATAAAGCTATTAAAACTATTAAAAACCACATATAGACCGTGAAGAAAGCCATAAATGAAATTACTTGGAGGTGGGCGTGGTAATGGAAGAAACTTGTCTGATTTTAAAGATATCTATAATCATTATTATAAGAATTATTTTAAAACTTACTTAAAATAATGCAGATAGTTCAGTATTTAAATATTCTTTTTATGCTTACCCT